TAAGACAGGCTTCTGCTTCCTCACTCCACTTTTTCTTCAACAGAAAACTTTTATGAGAAGTTAAACAGCCCAAGATCTCCCTTTAAAAGTTTAGGGTTGTTTTTTTTTCTTCAAAAGCTGCCAACTATTTAATCAGATTACTGAAATAAACTCACTTCTCAACCAAGGATAACTTCTGAGGAAATCAGAGAGAGGCAGTTGCAGCCACCCATTCCTTGGGAACTTTCCAAAACCCAAATGTCAGATGTTTCAGTTAATCAATGTGTGCTAATTAATTGATGCCATTAATTTTGACAAGATGTATCAGCCTTAATGTCAGTGTAATGGAAGAGAAGCTAGTCCTCAGAAAATACCTCAACCAATGTCAAAACTAACATATAAAAAAACCCACCTTCTTGAACGTGGAAGTGGGTTCCCAACCATTCCTGTCAACATCTCACGTGTGTGGGAGGTGTGTCCAACCTATTGGGTGGGGAAGGTTCTGCACATTTTGCTTTCCCCACAGCATCTGGTTCCTCTCAGCTTTTAGAAATGTGCCTCCTGATAAACATCCAGGATCTCAGCCATGGTCCTGAGCACCAGCTCCTTGTCTGTGGAAAACCACAAGCACTGCATTCTGGCCTGCATCCCCACCTACCCAGGCTTCCCCACACACAGGGTTGCTGCCCTGGTCGCTCCTGAACCCTTCATTGTACTCCCCACCTTCATCAGGGGCATTTCAGCAACAACCATCTTCTCCTGCCAGAAGAACTGCCCATGACTGTCCTTTCCCTGGCTACATAGGAGAGGAAACACCTCTTACACATCCCTACCATCCAGTCCTCTATTTTTCAAGTATGGAAGGCCTGAAATGTAGAGTTTGGGATTTTACACCAGCTAATATTAATAGAAACATTCTCAGGATTTTTTCCCCCCCAATGTAAATGGAACACTTTTATTTTTTTAAGCATGTCCCTGCAGAGCTCACAGGCCAAACACTGCAGCATTGTACCTGCCCAGGGAGCACGCTATAAACACATCTGTCTAGCTGCTCTGTCAGGCCCGCTGAGCTTTCTATAAACCAGGAAAAGTAAACCTGTACATTAAATATTTACTGTTTTCAGTGTGTATAATCTAGAAGTGTTTTTAGCAGCACAAGCGAGGCACAATTTTAATCAATGATTTTTATTTTGACATGGCACTGTTAAAGGCTGCATGGGTACATCCTTGGAACCAGAGGCTCTCCTCTCACAGCCAGTTACAAACATTATCATGTTATCATGCACTGCTCACCTGAAAGACCCATCCTATCCACCACTTTTCTGCTCTGATCCTAAATTATCCTGCAAGTCTGAGATCTGAGCTCATGGGGGGGGCCATAGAAGCAGACTCCAGGTTAGGCAGTGAGAGAGGACAGTGGCAAACTTGTGGTTGAGTGTGTACAAAAGAATAGAGATGGATGCAAAGTTTCAAAATAATTAAAATACAAAGCAAACTTATCTGAAAGCAAATAGCTGGTGGCCAGCACTAATTTTCTTTTACAAATAGTGTATCAGCTAGCTTTTAATGCTTGCTCCATGCAGAAGAGCTTCTGGTTTCATCTCCACTCTGACACTAGGAGCCATAACTTATGTACAACAACAGGAAAAGTCATGTTAATGCAGTCATAAAAAAGTCTCTGCACCAAAGCAGTCTGCTGATAGCCTCTGCTAACCTTCTACTTCCTGAGAACACTGGTGGCTGGGAAAGCAGTAGCCAGGCTTCCTGGCTGGCTCAAAGAGGTGTCCTTCTCCCTGAGGCTCTGCACACAGCTGCTCGAGGGAGCCCATGTGTGCACCCTTCCTCAGAGCAGCCCACCAGCTCTCACCACCTCACTCCCTCCAGTTTTATTTTAGCCCCCAGCAGAGAGAAGGTAAAGAAATATTCCATTCATGTAGTTTCTTCTTTGCTCACCTAGAAAAATCACCCCAACCAGCTCCCCATAACAAGACAATCTTTTGTGTTTGTACGCTAGTCGAGTCTAGAGATGGTTTAGCACTTCTTCCGCATCACAGGCATGCAACACTGGGATGGGCAGCTATTTGCACATTCTTGGATCATAACTCCATCTCCACAAGCATTCTTAAGGCACATACATGATCTGCTGTCTGCCTGCAAGTCCTCCCTATCTGCAAGGATGACATCGTGTCTAATTATTTGTCTGCTATTGATTTTTCCACTGCACTATCACAGACTGGAAGCAAGAGGCAGAAGCAACTAATTTCCAGCAGTGGATATCCCTGGAGGAGGGTGGCTGGCTTCCTTGCATCACTTAGCTCATGACATAAGCATGCCCAAGAGAAGAACACAGCTAGCTGCCACTGCAAGGTACTCACATAACATGCTGGGGGTAAGGGTAGGAGTCCAGATGGAGCAGAACAGAAATGAACAGTAATGCAGCAAACACAGCTAAGGTCTCACTGTGTTTTAGTAACAGAAAATGAGTACATAGCAGAGAATGAGTAATGATTTTGGACAAAGCCAACAGGGACCTTAGGGGATTCTGAAATTAATCCTGTGACATTTCCAGCAGCTAGCCTGGAAAGCACAGTAAGTGACAGAAAGCAGTGTGTGGCAGAGCATGTTCAGCATCCTGCCAGAGCAGGCCTCTCCTCCCATTTGCATGCAAAGAAAAAAAAATTAATCGATACTCTCTTATTTTTTCAAGAAAACAGCTACAAAAACTTGTTAATAAAATCAAAGGCTAGGCAACTCCTTTGAATGTCCACAAATCAGTGAGAGAAAACTATTCTGTCACGTCATAAACAGCAGGGAGGGAAAGCATCAGCAAGAAGGCAAAGGGTTCCCATACCTTAACACAGACTGACCTCAATGAAATATAGTTGTGATTATTAATTATAATGAAAGAAAGCACCTTTGGGAAAATAAGAGTTTGTAATAGATTTTAAATGAAGACAAGGAAAACAAACAAACCCAAACCTACCAAAGAGTGCATATTCTGAGCAGACAGTCCCACAACACAGATACAAGCAGGAGATGGTTGTCTCCAAGGTGCAGTCAGGCTAGACTAAGGCAGACTGCAGCTGACAACCATTATGGATCACAGCTTGGAAATGTGCTTTGATCAAGGACTTCTCAGGCACAGCCCAATTGACTGCAATCTCAGGTTCAGCTGGCTCCAGTAACTCCTTGAGATCACGAGCGACTTTCTTCTGAGCATGGTTATTTTGTCTAAGCAGATGTCAGTGCACATGCATTGCTCCACTGGGAAATCCTGCACTCTGAAGACCAAAGTTTAAAGTTAAGATCCTTCCACTGAGGTCACTTGGGATGATGAATTCTCTGCAATGAGATCTCTGCCTGAGACTTTTGTCTCAGCAGATGCTGGGGAAGAACCTGTGTATGCCCCTGACACCTCAGCCTCCTTCATGTAAGTCATGAGATGCAGCTGTGAACTCTTTTCTGGAATTTATAAAGAGATTACAGGCTATATTGCTACCTTCTGCAAGCTTCATGACTGCATGGGATGAAAACAATAGACATAACTAAGAAATATATGTGCAGCCAGGTGTAGCTAGGACCACCTGATGATTTTTGTTTTGTGGCATGGAGAGACACAGCCCACAATAGTCTCAGCATTGCAAACTTCAGCTATAGGGAGGTGCTTGATGCAAACTGCATCTTCTGGATGTAGCCTAGTGTTGAGGTACAGCTGCATGAGAGTAGGTGAACATGTGCAAGGAATTCACTCATCTCATTGAGGTAATGGTTGTCACTGGTGCTGAAGTAAAGTTAATATCAGATCCTTGAATGACCATGACAAACGTGTTTTGAGTCTCTGACTGGGGAGGAACTGAGCAGGAGCTGGCTGTAACTGCTGCACGTTTCTGCATCCAGCTCGATATGAGGAAGCCATGCAGTACAGACACAGCCCAACAGGGGTTCAACAGGAGCACGCCACGCCTGACCGTCAGCAGGGATGTTTCCTGCCTCTGTCACACTGCTGTGTCCCTTATGTCCATGTAAGTTGCAGGTATCTTTGTATCCATGTAAGCAGCAAGTATGGCCATGCAGTTCACACACCGAAGTAGAAATAAGCACAACTGAATATGACATCAGATTCTCCTTCTTTGTTTCCCTGCTGGATGAGGAGGCTCAAAAGTCTCCCTTGCACTTCCACACAATGGGAACCTCCACAACACTTTGACAGCAGCCAGGGGAAAATGCAGCGCACTTACAAAGCACAGTGTCTCTCACTGCACAAATACTGCAAAGCAAACCCCCACATATTAGAAACCACAAGCAAGGCACAGACTGTACAAAAACTGACAGGCATGAGCATAGCTGAAGGGAGGGCAGTAGGGAAGAGGAAGAAAACAAATAGGAAATGCCATACTCAAAAGAATTCAGCATAAACTCTGAGCAAATCAAAGCAAGGAAAAACTTCTGAACCCACTTGAATTTTAGCTGCCGAAGCCTCCTGGCTACTTGGCTGCTCTGCCTGTGCATTGCTATGCTTAATTTGCCCCACTGGATTTGCACCTCCTGTGAGTGACTGAGAGGAGCCATTGACTCAGGGAGGACTGATTTAGCGCAGCAGGAACCAGCGGCCTGGCAGAGGCTGCGGGAGAGGCCCAGCCCAAGGTAGGTAAACACGGTGGTGGTTTAACCCGGCAGGCAGCTGAGCACCACAGAGCCACTCACGGACTGCAGCGGGCTGGGGAGGGAACGGGGAACAGTACAGCCCATGGGTTAGACAGAGACACTTTAACAGAACAGGAAAGGATGCAAAGTAATAGTAATAGTTAGTAATAGTAATAAGGAACATACAAAACAAGTGATGCCCATCGCAATTCCCCACCATCCCCTGACCAGTGTCCAGCCAGTTCCCAAGCAGGAGCCCCTGGCCAGCTTCCCCCTAATTTACACACTGACCATGTGTCATATGATACAGAATGTCCCTTTGGCCAGTTGGGATCAGCTGTCTCTGCTGTGTCTTCTCCCAGCTTCTTGTGCTTCCCAGCCTCGTTGGTGGGGTGGGGGGAGAAGAGATGAAAAGTCCTCAACTTAGTGCAAGCACTGCTCAGCAACAACTGAAACAGTGTGCTACCAACAGTCTTCTCATCCTAAATGCAAACACAGCAATGTTACCAGCTACAAGGAAGAAAATTAACTTTATCCCAGCCAAAACCAGGACATAGCAGAAGAGAGAAGGATGTGGTGGAACAACAAAAAAGAGAAGAAAGAGTAGGAGAGATGGAAGAAACAGACAGCAATGGAACCACAAAACAGAATAAGAGGAAATTAAACACAGTACAAAAAAAGGGCTGGATGCTGGATTTAGTAAGATTTTTCTCCAGAGTCCACATGGCTGTAAACTTCTGGTGTGCTCCAGTTTGGGGCTGGATACTTACTGCCAGTGGGAGCACCCAGGCAGCCTCTGTCCCACACAACCCTTCTTGCTGCTCCATGGTCCCTGTGTACAGCTATGAAGAGCTGCTGCTGGGTGGAGGGAAATTAAGCCAGTTATTTTTTCTTGATTTGTTTATCTGGAAAGTCCTTTCCCTGGAGAGACACAGGCCTGTAAAAATGACAGGATATACTCAGTAAATCTGTAATAGCTGCTATGAAAGCCAACAGCGTCAAATTCCTGCTTTGCATTAGCCAAGGTCCCAGTGATTCCCTACAGCACTAAAAGTGAGAAACCAGTAAAGCATTCCTCATGACATGATGCAGGGGTTATTTCCCAGTAGGCAAACAAAGTTCTGGAACACTACATTACGCTGAACAAAATCTAAAAAGGGAAGATACTGCAAACTTCTTCCTGTTTCCTGAAGTACATCCAGGATATGTAGGCACAGCCTGGAGTGCAAATGCTGGCTCATGGTTTGAGACAGGGAAGTGTGTGCAGGGAAAGGGTCACAGTCTAACCTGAACTCCAAACAAACTCAACCTATCTCAAGTGTTGTCAACTACTTGAAATTCAGGACAGGTTTGTTAAAAGGTTCTTCAAAGCTTTTGAAGTGACCTTTTCTTGAGCAAATGTAGGTTCAGTTAGTTTCCCATCAAAGTTGTGTGAATATGTGGTAAGACATGAAACCAAGTGAGAAAAGGCACTATTCATTGACTTTTCCTGTGGCATTTGCTGAATGTTGTGAAAGCCATAGATCAAAGCAAAATGCTCGGTGCATGTCCTTAAATTAAATGTAATTAGACAAACAATTTTTTTTGTTTGCATAAATCCCTGAAAAGCAAAACTGGCCAATTTACACACACAATAGTGTGTTAGCATCTTCTTTTTCAAAATTTTTGAAATTTTTTGAAAATTTTCATAAATCAAGGTGTTGAATCAAAAACATTTTCCTCCGCATCATAATGATGCTGTGTAAAGAGTTATCCTGGGAAAAATGTAGTAGTCAGATTCCCCATCTAAAAAAGTACTTTGGATTTTTAAAACTGAAGTACCACAGAAAAACTGATACACCTGTAAAACTAAGAGAAAACCAACATAGTGGATAGCTTGAAGTCTAGAGCCCTGTTCCTCCTTGTCACCAGCTGGGGCTCAGCTAAATCAGTAGGGATGGAAAGTCATTACTGTCATTACTGGCAGCCATCAAAGCTTGCTGGTGGGTCTCTCTCCAGTTCTTGAAGGACACACAAAATAATTTCTGTCATCAGAAATGGCACTACATGGTACATATTGGCAGTCTCCAGAGAGCTGCATATCACTAAGGACTGGGTTTCCCTCTCAGCTGTTGTTTTTTCTGGCCAAATTTTGAGGCATACAAGTAATGAACAAAACCACTGCCGCTTTCTGAAGCACAAGTTCCGGCCAAATAGTGCCTGGAGCTTTCATCCCAACACCTTTTCTTCCCACCTCCCCAAACCACCACAAAGTAAAACGTCAAGTCAATTTACTTGAATGAAAAGAAAGCCATGAAGACAAGAAACCGAGGAGGGGAAAAACCCCACGACGGGAGCTGTCTATCAGGCCTGGCGCGGGCGGGGGCCTGGCCGCGGGTCCGCAGTGCTGAGGACATGAGCCCCTCTGCCGGGCACGGCCTGGCCGCGGGGACATCCCGGAGCAGGAGCAGGAGCTGGAGGAGCCCGGCAGGCAGCGTCATCCTGTCCCCCGCGGGACACCCCTGGCACCGCCCCGTCCCCGGGGTCACGGCATCCCTCTGCGGGAGAGGCTGCCCATCCACAGCGCCCACCCCGCCTCGTCCTAGCCCCCGTCCGGTCCGGTCCGGTCCGCTCCGGCGCCGCGCCGCCCGCGGAGCCGCGGGCAGCGCCGGGGCAGAGCCGGGCTGTCCTCACGCCGAGGCCGGGCCGGCAGCCGCAGGTGCGCGGTGGCGAGCCGAGCCCGCCCGGCGCTGCCCCGAGCCCCCGCAGCGCTCCCGCCGGCCCGGACGGGCCCCCCCGTGCTGCGGTCCCACAGGGCGCCTCATCATTCCCGCTGGTGTGGGAACGCACGGGGAACAGCAGACGGGCCCGCGGCACTTACCGGAGCCCTGCGCACCGTCCTTGCTGTCACCCTTTGGGCCGTGGCACCTTTGGGCAGGCGACGAGACGACCGGGCTGGGCTCCTCGGAGCGGCGGGGCTGCGGCTGCCTCCCCTCCCCGGGCGGGCGGCACGCTTGTCCCGTACAGGACACCCGCTGTACGGGAATGCCGCAGCCAGGTTAATCACATCCCTCCTTTCCGCATCCCCCCACCCGCTGTCCCCCTCGCCCTCTCCCCCCTCCACTTTTCGTGGCCTTTGGAGGGGGTTTTGCAAGCTTTCGCCTCTCCTTTGAATCCGGCTTCTCTACCTTCCAGCCTTGAAGGCGACAAGAAAAACCCCAAACTTGTGTTGGGAACAGTAATCTCATTTGCAAAGAAAAATCCCTGGAATGGGGACTCATTGTAGCGCCTTTGGGCAGCAGACCCAACTGCTGGGCTATTTCAATAAAGAAGCGAACTGCAGCAGAACGCCAGTTGGCTCCTCCAGCAGAGTTCTCCTAAATCATGATAGACAGATTGCGTGAAAAACAGGAATTCCAAAGAATTTCCTGCCCTGGGAACAGAAGTTAAGGCTATATTTAACAACATCTGAAGCTGTCAAGAATGCTTTGTGGTTGGATAACAGAGCAGAAAAATGTGAAAAATGCGGGCTACTGCTATACCAAATATGGAAATATTGTTACGTCTGGGGTCTAAATCCCATCTGGAAGTACTTACAGCCAGGAAAAGAAAAGACGCCACAACAGAAGCTGAAACTCTCCTCCCTATCCCCAAATATTAAACTTCAACGAGGGAATATATTTCAAGGGCACCCAACCAAAGTGGGGGGCAGAGAACCCGGGGGTACACAGGCTGAGGGGGCTGCTGGCTGCGCGGCCATCCCGTTCCTGGCCTGGAAGCCGGGCCCCGGTGCCGCCGGGCATCGCCGGCTCCCGGGCTCCGGGAACCGCTTGGATGCTGGCTCGCACCGCAGCAGCAGCACGGAGCGAACCCCGGCACGGCCGAGCGACCCTGCGGGCCGTGTCACAGCGCGGGGCAGCCGCGGGCGCTCACGGCGGCCCGGGGAGCTGCCCCGCCGCTGCCCGCGCAGGTGGCCGGTCGCGGAGCGCCACGGGCTCAGCCCCGGGTGCGAACGGCCCCTCCCGGTGACACCCCGGCGCTCTGTGTGCGGGAGCGGGGCGCAGAGCCCGGCTAAAGGGGAGAGGCCTCCGCGCGGCCCGAGCGGGCCCGACCCCCTGCGGCAGCGCCGGCGGAGCGGGAGACGGGGCGGGGCGGGGCGGCCGCGGCGCGCGCCAGCCGCATTCCTGGGATGCCGCGAGCGCTGGACGCGGCCGCGGCCCGGAACGCGCGACGTCAGCGCCGCGGCGCACGCGGCGGCCCCGCGCCCTATATAAGGCGGTGGCGCCCGCCGCCGCCTCAGACCGCGCCGGCCGCGCTCCCGCTCTCCGCTCACACGGCTCCCGCTGCACCGGCGCTGGACATGGGCTCTGCGGGCACCCGGCCCGCTCTGGCGGCCGCTCTCCTCTGCCTGGCCCGCCTGGTAAGTGCCGCGGGTCTTCCCGCGGTCCGGGAGAGAGGGAGGGAGAGGAGGCGGGTCGGGTGGCTCCGCTCGGCTCCCGGCGCTCACCGGACGCTCCGCTCCGCAGGCTCTGGGCTCGCCCTGCCCCGCCGTGTGCCAGTGCCCGGCGGCCCCGCCGCAGTGCGCCCCGGGCGTGGGGCTGGTGCCGGACGGCTGCGGCTGCTGCAAGGTCTGCGCCAAGCAACTGAACGAGGACTGCAGCCGATCGCAGCCCTGCGACCACACCAAGGGGCTGGAGTGCAACTTCGGGGCCAGCCCCGCCGCCCTGAAGGGCATCTGCAGAGGTAAGCGGCGACCCCGCTCGCCCGGGACGGACCCCGCGCCCCGCGGTGCCGGGGTTCGGTAATTTCGAGCCCATGTATGGTTATGCTTTGTTGTCGGTAGCTTGGCAGAAAGGCACATGACTTCAGCAGTCTGGAATGCGATTCAGTATGTCTGGGCTCCGCTAAACGCACATAAGGAAAAGTGATTCCTGACTAAGTTATTGTTCTGGCCCCGCGTCCCCGGGGGGTTGTAGGGAGCTCCGCCGTACATTGAGTTTAACAGACCAGCAAATACCTGTGCTTAAACCAGCGGTTCTCGCCGCTCACCCCCTTCTTTCCCTTCCTGTTGATCTCTGCAGCACAGTCCGAGGGAAGACCGTGTGAATATAACTCCAAAATCTACCAGAACGGCGAGAGCTTCCAGCCGAACTGTAAACACCAGTGTACGTGCATAGATGGAGCTGTGGGCTGCATCCCGCTCTGCCCGCAGGAGCTCTCTCTTCCCAACCTGGGCTGCTCCAGCCCCAGGCTGGTCAAAGTCCCCGGGCAGTGCTGCGAGGAGTGGGTCTGTGACGAAAGCAAGGATGCACTGGAGGAGCTGGAAGGCTTTTTCAGCGAAGAGTTTGGTCCGGATGATTCCGAAGGTGAATTAACCAGGAACAATGAGCTAATTGCCATTGTGAAGGGAGGCCTGAAAATGCTACCCGGTGAGTGTGGGTTTATCTGGGTGACAGTTTAGGGGAGGAGGCTAGAGGGTGGCTAGACCTTAGACCCCAAGGGGTCTAAGAAAGAAACATAGTGAGAGGTTATATTTAGACTAACCCCTCCTTTTCTTTTCCAGTTTTTGGATCCGAGCCACAAAGCCGAACTTTTGAGAATCCCAAATGCATCGTGCAAACAACCTCATGGTCCCAGTGCTCAAAGACGTGTGGAACTGGCATCTCCACAAGGGTGACAAATGACAATCCTGACTGCAAGCTCATCAAAGAGACCAGGATATGTGAAGTGAGGCCATGTGGCCAGCCCAGCTATGCCTCCCTAAAGGTAAATACAGATTCTTCTGGTGTTCCTCTTCTTTCTAAGCTGCTTCAGGTAGTCGGTAAAGGCTGCAAACGAATCTCCTGCTAATAATGTTATCGCCTTTCCTTTGCAGAAGGGAAAGAAATGTACCAAGACAAGGAAGTCCCCCTCCCCGGTGAAGTTTACTTACGCTGGATGTTCCAGTGTGAAGAAGTACCGGCCCAAGTACTGTGGCTCCTGCGTGGATGGCAGGTGCTGCACACCCCAGCAGACCAGGACTGTCAAGGTCAGGTTCCGCTGCGATGACGGGGAAACCTTCACCAAGAGTGTCATGATGATCCAGTCCTGCCGATGCAACTACAACTGTCCACATGCCAATGAAGCCTATCCCTACTACAGACTAGTCAACGACATTCATAAATTTAGGGACTAACTTGTGTTGGGGGTGGGATGCAAAACAGAATTTTGAAGTACCCAGCCATGAAGAAAGGACCTTTGATGGAAGTGGTGCCTTGCCCATGTGAGGGCAACATTGAGATGTTACAGGAGTGCACTGTGCAACTGGACACTAATGCAACAGAGATTTAAGCATACTTAAAGCTTCATAATACTGGAGCAACTTTACTGCTTCTTTTTGGAGCACCTTATCTAATTATATACTGTTTTCTGTTTGTAAGTGATCAGATTAATGTTTTGTTCCGGTTATGAAAACTTTTCTATCCTGTCCAATTTAACACTATGCTTCTTCCCCTTCCTTCAATCTTCTCCCACCCTTTCCCAACTAAGTTGGAAGTTACATTCCTTCCTGAGGTGGGCACCTGTGGGGTGTTCACAGTGGCAGCTATTATGTACCAACTGTAGTTTAATGGCAAACAGAAATCAGTTGTTTTAAAGCTGAGTATTTTATTTATCAAACTGTAGCTTATTGTTTGTTTGTTTCCTCTGAGTTTTTTTTACCCCTTCCAGCCCCTGTAATACTGGAATAAGTTGTAAATGATTTTAATTTTATATTCAATGAATTAAAAGAATTTATTTATGGAATTAATCATTTAATAAAGAAATATTTACCTAACTACTCTTAGTAGAGTATTCTGATAGGCAACAGGCTTAAATACAGCACATGCAAAAGGTTTCTGTAAAAACTTGGAATTCTGAAAAGTTTGGATTCTCTGAAAGCAAGTTCTGCTGCAGATGCAGAAATGGACTAAATAGCCAAGTCTGTTTCTTTGGATAAATGTTTTGAAGGAGTATCTGCAGTCTGCAACCCCATGCTTTAGAAAGTATATGTAGAAAGAGTTTCTTGGCACTGAATGCAAATCTTTGATAGACTGAAATGTTAATTAGACTGTCAGATTATTCAAGCTGTCCTGGAATTTGCAACATAAGGTACTTCATTAGAATGCAGTGCATGCATGGTGATGTTGAACATAGAGGTGAAAATGGTCATCGGGTCTCACGTTTTTTGGTGGCTGCTTTTTCCAAATTAATACATTTCTATGGCAGAGGAATGCTTCCTACAGGCTGCACGAGGTAGTTTGCTTTCACTAAATTCAAATTAAATGAGCTTGAAGCAATGACTTTTGTTAATCCTAATAACACAGTGATGAAAAGTAAACATACTGTTAACAAGAGAAGAATGTGAGGAATTTCAAGTACTAGTCCCAGAGTAGAAACTAGTAGCATTAGAGTAGAAAGCAAGGGAGCTACTCTTTTCCTCACATCCCCTTCCCAATTTTAAATATGTAATTACACTTTATGTTGTGGGACACAGAGGACATTTGGCTAAGCAAGGGAGCTCGCTGGCACGCAGTAAAAAAAAGACATTTAAAGAAATTAACTAGAGCAGGATCTGAGAAAGCATCCAATCATCGTACACTTCTGGTTAGCCTAAAGCTGTGCTACACATAAGACTGACAGGAAACCTGCAACAGAGTATTATTTTCTTCTCCTTGTGTGGGTATTTCTCTGTCAAAATATTCTCCCACAATCTTTAATAAGAAAGATACTGCTCATAAAAAAGAGACTGATTTCGAGGTTTTAGAATTGTGAAGGGGTGTCATCCAGTGTCATTAGTTACAAGCAGAATTGGTTAAGGGTCAATTTTTTTATTAATTAGACATAAATATCTCAAGAAAATAAATAGCCAAATATCTCAGAAGCTTATCTCTGGCAGCTAATGCTTTGTCTGAGAAATTACAGCCTTCCCTCTTTTCTGCTCAGTCAAGTTTTCTCCCTGAAGGCTTTCAAAAGTTGAGCTGTTTTGGAATTCACCACCTGGCCACCAGTCTC